CGGTCACCCCCATGGCGTTTAATGTGTTAATATTCATAGAGATTGCTTTTATGGTATTAGGCACATCGTTGACACAAAAAGTACATTGGTCAATTTACATTCGGTTAAGAGTAGAATAATATTCAGGATTTATTTTTCAAAACTATTTACTGTGCCACGACATACGTAGACAAGAATATAGGTACACAAAAAAATTATATCTCTTGCTTGTATCTTATTTCTAACACTGCATTATGGTTTATTTCTGCATCACACTAAGTACCTCATTTATTATTTATTTACATTAATATGATAGTTTACAGCACGGGCCAAAATATTTACATTCCAGGATACAAAAAAGAAACTTCAACTCATACTTTTAATGTGTTGTCCTATGTAATATTGTCTGCTGTATTGTGTATAATATAAAATAATAAATAAATATATTTATTTATCCTATTAACTATTAACCTTATTAGGTATTACTGATCGAGAATACTTATATTACCCACAATGACATTAAATCCACCTTATGTACTAATTCAAAAAAAGCGTTTAAGAAACCCTTAAATATGTATCTAGGAGTTAATTGATCACATATAATTGTTATGTAATCCATCTTTGACTATATACAATGTCGTAAATAATTCAAGTAGTAATAGATAATAATATAAAGTGAGAGTGTCTACGTATGCATTATTATTTACATGTCAAAATCCTTCACAACTGAAGTATCACTTATTGAATTGTGAATAATACGTAGTTTGTCATACATACTTGAAATAATAATATTATAAATAGGTAGGAGATTCTCTGCCTTCCCTGCGGGTCAAGTTGCTTTTTGTAAGGGGAATAATCATCTATGATATGACTTTTTCCGCCTTGGGTTAGGCGAGAGAGTGTCAGACTTTATTGATCACAAACAACTATCGTTTTTTTCTTCTCCTCTTATAATATCTTCTGATTCACTTCGTTGCGGGAACCAAGACAGTTATTCATGTCTTTAGGACGCGCCAGACTTCAGTGTTCCGGTGTTTTCATTCTGTAGATCCTGCCTACAGGAGTTGCAACGGTTTTGGGAGATTATGGCGGGTTTGTCCCTAAAAAAATGACCATAGACAACCCCGTTCCTACTTCTGCCCTTCAAGCCGGAGCCCCGGCAAGTGGTAACTATTAATTAATCTGTGCCGCGGCTTCGTAAAGTGGCTGGAAGTTTAACTAGAGGTAGAATCGAGTTTTTCTCAGCGCATAGGCTGAATTCGTAGCCGGTAATCATATGTAGGATGTATTGCAAATTTCACATGTGTTATCTGGTCAATAGATAGTGATATAGTCACTTTTTGGAAATACGTAAATAGTAGGTAAATACGCACGTACTTGTAGGTATGTATAAAACAGACATTAATAATAATGACGCATATGTATAGGTAACCACTAATTCATTTATTTGTACATCTGTACTTTTGTCATTACAATTATAACTTGTTATTTTAATAGAATTCCACGGCAAAATTACGACTTGTTAATTAAGAATGGGCATCAAAAATATCTTTCGTTTTAATATTTATAAACCCACGTATGTAGAACACGTATTTGGATTTCGTATAATTATGAATCATTATTATAATTATTCTTAATAATGACATAATTATAATGGAATTTGATAATCTAAAGCAAGCGTTTAGTTACATACTGATTCATTTTTATCTGGCATTTTACACGTGAGGCAAGAAATATGACATTTAAAAAAATATTGAAATAGAAAAGAATATTTAAACAGAAATACCTCTTTTTATGATAAAAGCCAGTAAACGACCAGACGGATCACCTAATGGTAAGCAATCGGCGTCGCCCATGGACACCTGAAACATCAGAGGCGTTACAAGTGCGTTACCGGCCTTTTGGAAATTGGAATTTGAGGGTTGTGGGAGACTGGGGATGGGGGGGGGGTAATTGGGTCTGACCTAGTAACTGACACTTATCTATTGTACAAATTCAAAAAAGCATTTAAAACATTACTAGAATTTGTGAAGTCAGTAGTTAATTACGTAGGTACATGACAGAATGTTCTGAAATCAATCCTTAACTACATTTATATTATAGTAAGTAATCATCGTTTACCATCATCATCATCAACAGCCCATAAGTGGCCACTGCTCAGCAAAGCCTCTTCTTACACGGATAAGGTTTGAGTATTAATCACCACGCTAGCTCATAGCCGGTTGGCGATTTCAAACTTGTTCCTCGCGATGCTTTCCTTCTCGTTTCTCAGTGGTGTCTAAATAATCTCAAAAAGTACATATAACTCGGGAAAAGTCACTTTGGTACTTGCCGTTGGTAGGTTTCGAATCTAGATAATTACCATCGCAACCACGAGAAAAGGAGAAGTCTGGTATTGGAGGTCAAGATCCTATATGCATCGTTGAGCCACAGGAGTATACAAATATTAATGAGAATTTAAAAATCGAACGAATCAACGCCGTGCTCGCAATCGCCAATAATGTAATCGTAAAAAAGTTTATGGTCTAGAACTGTTTTTTTTTTATTTGCTTTTTAATTTTTAGGGACTTGTACCGTACAGCGTATGTCAGTGCCATCGTAGCCTCATGATATATAAATCAACTAGAGGTCAATGAATCAGAGTTCTAAATTGTTTTATGCAAAAAAAAGCCTAGTAAAGGTTTGCTTTCTTTACAACAGTTTTGCGCTAGTTTTGAGTAGGTACCATAGCCTGAACATATATAGGGTCATATGAAAGTGGGTTACTAGGGTACAACACTCTTACACGACTTAGACTGCTGTGTGTGTTTAAAGTAGTGAAGCGGTTAGTTTTTTAGGGGCATTTTTGAAAACTGTACTGAGATCGAATATTGAAATTAACTTGCAAGCAATGTGCAAATTGAAGTTGCGTATCTAATTAATATTAAACACTTCTAATAACAAATTGACTAAACTTTTTAACTGACGACTCACCAAAAGAGAATAGTCGAGGTTTTAATATTTATACCCCTTGTTGAAATCTATATCGTTTTCGTCCTGAAGTGAAATGCTTCTGTCTCATTAAAGCAATAGTTTCACAAAGAAATAAAATGTTAAAACAAAAAACAACTGGCGAATCATTGCAAAAAGCAAACTTCGAAAGCGCATACGAAGTCATAGTCCATTATCAAAGTACCACGTCATGTAATTGTCGAAGAGATATTTCTCGTCGGGTGGCACGTGCGATGCGAATAGTGCCTACAAATTTACGTCGTTGCGTATTTCCATGATTTTATTTAAACAATAAAAAATTATATCTTTATTCTTATGTTTTTACTATTACACATCGAACATACTCCTTATTTAAGGCAAGTGGTTTACGGCGATACGAAAACGAAATAAATTTCACGGCTTTCAGTTAAAAACGTTCTTAATTAGGTACCCTGAAAACTACTACTGAAAAACTGTCTACTTGTAAATAAAAAACTATATCTAAGTAAATCTCGCTTATCATAATAATATTATACTTTACTTGAAGTACAAACAAATAGGTAGAAAGGTGCGTAGGCATATGTAGGACGTAGGTACCTCCTATATCGGAAAAACCATACAATTGATTAATGGCCTCTGAAAGATAAAATAAATGGATACCCAATTAAAATTACTTGTAAGTACCTAGTATGTTTGTTTTATCAATGGCAATACTTTTCGTCATAATAATTATTATTATGACCAAAGTGTCGAGATAAAATACAATTTGATTGATTGTTTCCGCTTTTCAAAAATTGCCTTCGATATTTTTTTATTCAAGAGGTTAATAACCAATACACAATACAAAGAAATTATTGAATGCTTTGTCCGACTCGAGAATCTACCTCTAAGTAATCTTCTTTCTTGATTGTCATACTAGCGTCTACTCAGCGTCTACTCTAGTCGTCCAACCAGATTGCATCAGATTTAAGAATCTCTTAATAGGAAAAAAACATGAAATAACACGATTCTCTTTTATAACATAAGAGGCAAACGAGCAGACGGATTTTTTTTTTAAATAACAATGAAGAGAGAACTCGGTAAGTATTACAAAATTATGTTGAATGAAAGGAAAATTATAATTATTAATTTTCCTTAAAAGTGTGGGTATACATTGATTATTTATTTGTTATAATTATATTATTAATTTATTGTTTATTTTTATTTTCGACTAATTCACAATGACGGGAAAGATATTTCAATTATTTACCGACTTGTATTTGTTCTGTCAATTGATTTTGACTACTAGCAATAGCTACTGCCATCTAGTGGTGGACTTAGCAACTACTGTGATTTATCTTAAGTTTTATAGTTTGTCGCACTCCCAATACTTTATTAATATGAATTACACATGAGGATAATTGAATATGATCATAAATAAGTGTAATAAATTAAGTATTTTTCTGACAGCGAGAGTTTTAACTTACAATTATTATATTTTAAATACCGTGCACCATTGTTATATTTTTTTAACCTACTTCATTTTTTAACTTTGTGGAAGTGGAAGGGATCTGCCAGACTCTTACAGGCTAAAACCATCGCGGTGTTCCTCCTCTGCCTGTGACCGTGACCCGGGTCACAAAAAGATAAATAAGTACCTCAGTAATGTTTATTTAATTTCAGTCGAATAATACATAAACATCATTATAAATAAGTAACAATAAATTGAATTAGAAATCTTATAACCTTGAGTGCAACGCTTACAAAGTAGAAATTCAAAATGGCCTCTAAATCTGTTACAACAAAACCTTTCAACAAATAATTTGACTTCTCTTGTAAACATTAGTTATTTGTAATAATGTTGTCTATACTAATAAATTACTGTTATCTGCCTAGTATTTATAATAATACTAACAAAGTGTACCTACCCTTGTATTTATCACTACCGGACAGTTAACAAAGTAAATAACTGTACCCTCATTATGAAATATTCATACGTTTATAATTGTTATGATATCTGTGCCGAGCGTTTGTGCATTAAGTAACACCAGTATAAACTAAAATGTGAAAGGAATATGCTGTGCAAACGTGAACTAAAAACACAAAAGAGTTTTTGCTTAAATTAAAAAAAAAATGCACCATAAATCCGCGAGTGTCATCGTGTTTTAAGTTTTAAGCATTTGTTGTTTTTTTTCGAACGCGTTCCGAATTTGAATTGTGACATTTAGTTGTTTCTTTTGTTTTAGCGCCAAAAAGTGTAGTTTAACGAAAATGTGACTGTTTTTAATAATTTTGTCGCGTTTTTAGAATAAAAATATTACTTCGCGGCAAAAACAAATGTGAATTTTATCAGTTTAATTAATAAATCATTTAATCTTGTCGCGATAGTTGAGTAAACACAGAAATTACGTTTGTAAAGAGATTTTTTCGTGGATTCGTTTTTTTCGATAAGGAAATGCTTGTTCCGCGTTGGGAGTGTGAATTTCGTAGTTTTCTTAGTCTTTGTTCAGCAACCAAACGTACTGTTTGGTTTGCAATTAAATAAAACATACGATTATTTGTGAAAACCCAAGATTATTGATTATTTTCACCGTCAAGATGTCGATTTTAAATATGGGTGCGCGGCTGGAGCTGGCCTTTAGCAAAGTCTTCAGAAAAATGGATGGTTACACTATAATAGGTAAGATTTTAATAGTAATCGGTTATTTTTACCCAATAATAACATTTATATAACACTCTTTACTCTCGTTCATTACTTATGCACTGTTTCAACGATAATTTACACTCTTTTACTATTCATTGCTTCATAGTTCTGTGGTTTAAGCCACGACCTTAGACGTAGGTTTGATTCCAAGGTTGAGTAAATTGCATTTCTTTGTTACATTACATTATGGTTAGAATTGTGTTCAGTAAATGCCACCGGGTTCTAATTACGTAAGATAACAACTATGTGTATTTATTAGTTTGAGTACATTGAACTATCAAAATTTAACTTGCCATACAGATTACAGACATTGCTGTTGCATAGCTTAACAATTGCATAAAATTAAGATATTAAACACAACATAAAATCTATTATTTTGTTCTAATAAATTGTTAAAAATAAACATAAAATCAAAAATCTCAGTAGTAGCACGGAGTCTGGAATTGTGTCCGGTATATGGCAATAGGCTCACCCTCTATTACATGGGACTCATAACATAAATAGTGAAAAGTGTGTTACATTGTACAGTGGTATAATGTGCACCTCTGCCTACCTCTTCGGGGATAAAAGGCATGATGTTATGTTATGTTATAAACTCATTATAAAAACAGTTGAAACACATTGCAGAGCCAGAGCTATCCTTACTGAGCTAAACCTATTGATTACAAAAAACCTGCAGCTGTACCCAAATACCATTTAGCGCTTGTCTACATGTAGAATAGAAAACCAAATTATATGGAATTGACGTAAATTTTGACACTTGTCAGTGTCATCCCCAGACATTTAGTTTTCTACTCTCTCTGTAGATATGCGCTAAAGTGGCGTTTGGCTAAAGGCACTGATACCATAGGATGCGATATCAAACCTTAATACCTCCACAATAGGGTGCTTACTCTTGAATCCAATTCCGATCGATCGACATTGATATTGTGAAACTTCATACTCTTGAGTGACAATACTACCGAACATTGCATCCGTTTTGCCAGGATATTGAAGGAACCAAATGGGATTGAGTTTTATTTTATATTCCGTACTCCAAATGCTATTTTACCAGCTACGATTTGGGTTGATGTGACTAAGAATTTATTGTGAACCTGATTGAAAAGGAGTAACCTATGAAATTTCTTGCTGGTTCGTCTCCATAGGAATCTACACTTTGGAACGGGCAAATAGCTTCACTAGAGGACTGACTGACAGACTGACATTTTTTTTCTTTAATTAATATTTAAATATTATGTTTTAACGTTCAAAAGTGCCTTCTTGGTCTAATTGAAATAAATGATTTTGACTTTGTTCTATAGTGTGGATATTAAATAATTATTGCGATTTTATTGGATTGAAATTGCATTGACATTGGTTTCAAGAGTAAGCGTCTGAGATACTTCAGCCTACCACTTACAGTATCGTCATCATCATTACTTACCCCAAAAACAACCACTGCTAAACAAAATAACATCCCTTTGTTAAATGATTTATTTTTTTAAACGTTGTCTTATACGACAGTTTTCTCCAGTGTCATGATTGCGTCCACAAACAAACAAATAAAGTACTTAATTACTTATTAATAGAACTGTTTATCACATGGGAAGGGAACTAGCTCATTGGACACTGGACAGTGACCCTTTGCGTGTGATAACGGGTCCATAGGTACTATCTTATACCAATAGTTACACAGTGGTTATCAGTGGTATTTTGCCTGGTATATGCTAAGGCTCACCCCCTATTAAAATATGGGACTATATAACCTAATCAGTGATAATTAAGAGTGTAATGCAACATGTAGGTAGGTATCTCTCTAAGAATAAAAGGCGTTTATATATATTTTTATTTAGAGATTGCAGTAGGTACCTACGATTATATAACAATAGTAATTTCATTATTGAGTCGCAGATTTCAGTCAATCAGTGACGTCAGAATATTATAAATTAGACATGACATAAGACGACATCACGCCTTTTATCCCCGAAGGGGTAGGCAGAGGTGCGCATTATGCGACTGTACAAAGTAACACTCACTTTTCACTATTTATGTTATAAGTTCCATGTAATAGGGGGTGAGCCTATTGCCATATACCGGGCATAATTCCAGACTCCGTGCTACTACTGAGAATTATTTAAAAACCCAGTAATACCTACTTCGTCCGACCACCGGCCAGACTCGGCCAACGAGACAGTCTTATAAATAAGACGAAAATTAAAACAACATCACGTTACAAAGAAACGACATATAAAATTGTTCGTCAAGTACATAAAGTCATCTCTATTTACATAGAAATAACTAACATACATAAGTAAAAGTCGGTCGCTAGTCGGCAAAGTAATGAATAAACATGACTATTTTATATACTTAGTAATGTTATAAACGATAAGAATACTGTTATCAAAATAAATTTAAGTTCCCTAATTACACGAAAGAATTGACTAACGCAATAATTTCCTTGAATATGTTATTAACAATTGAGCATCTAACTATGTTGAAGTTGTAAACATATTTTTCAAATAGACTCGAAAACAAGCGTATTTAATTCCACACATTTACGTATCCATAATATGGTATATAATAATTTATGATTATGAATATGGACCTTTGCATGAATTTTTTTGTGATTTTTTCTTAAAGTTATCTCGCTCATTACCCAATGAGCATATATAAATAACTAATATTTAAATCAAACAAAATAATTCCCGGGTTGGGCAAAGTACTTCTAGGGTTTTAAAATAAAATATTAGTAGTAACACGGAGTCTGGAAATGTGCCCGGTGTATGGCCATAGGCCATAGTATTACATGGGACTCATACCATAAACAGTAAAATGTGGGTGTTACATTGTACAGTGGCATTTAGTGCCGTAATGTGCACCTCTGTCAACCCCTTCGGGGCTAAAAGGCGAGATGTTATGTTAAATCAATAGGGAATAAAAATCTGGATGCAAAGTAATACGATACGTACTGAACATTTTGAGAGTAACAAAACATTGCTTTGACCAACCGTCGCGCACCAGTGTCTACTAGATTGTCGCGGAGAACCTAACGGGTTATCGGGGCTTCGCGCTTCGGCTCGACGTGCAGGAGAAGGAACTGCCGCTCCCGCCTCACCCAGGCGGGAGCAGACATTCGTTGATTTTCCCCCCTTAAAAATGTCTACAAAGCAACAGTTTTCGGAACCAACGTTTTGGAAAATTACACTTGTCTTGTCAAATTCGTCCATTGTACTCGAAACATGTAATTTACTCAAGATTTCTTACTGAGTTGAGCAATAAAAAATGAAACATCGACATTACGAATGCTTATGTCATGTCAACTAAGTTAGCCGACATGTATTATGATTGCTTGGAAACACGCACACACGTAGATTAGATTCAAAGTGACGGACCACCGTCATTTAACATTTTACTGTAATTTCTGAGTGATATATTACACTTTGAGTTCTTTATTACACTGTGTGGGGTCTGTTAAACTGGTAATTTTAATTTTGGGATCGCCTTATTCAGCTGTAATTCGGTAAAAGTAAATTTAATTACTTATTAATAACAAAATTCTGCACATTACTATGTCTACACAAAGGTCGGTATAAAATAATGTAATCTTAAAGGTGCTCCTTCACACCGGGAGCATTCACGTGTAGGTAATGTAACATTATAAATTCGACTTTGAGCATTTCATAGCAAGATGTCAGACATTGATGTTACAAGTTGTATCAAGATATTACACATTGTATCATGACAAGGTGCGCATTGTAATACTCGGTTCTCCTCCTTCATTAATGTAATGCTCAGATCTGTAACGTTACAAACGTTACAATCTTACTGATTGGCCATTTTTTATTTGAATTCTGCAGATCTACCGATATCGTTTTTCAGGCGTTCTGTAGGCTATTATTTAGAGTAACAATGACGTTTGTGTAAATAATATGTCTTTCTTTAGATAGCCTATAACGTAGTGCCTACTGTATTTTTAGTTTTATTTTAGGTTTGCCATCTTCTTTATATTATGTTCTGTGGGTTTGCCTGTAGGTACAATTTGAGTACGGAAATCTATTTGTTTCTTGTTTCCTTAGTATTTTTCTTTCAAATCGACGCCGTATTTTGTTTGTTTTGAATAACAATAGACAGGGTTCCTTCACCGCGTGTTTGTCGAGTTTCTTTGTTTGTGTCAGATATTTTTCTTTTGATACCATGTTATTTCCTTCTAATGTACTGCTTGTGGCTTTGACATTGCGACAAAGTATCATAATGACATGTAATCTAGGTTCTGATTTGTGTATGTCAAAATGTTCTCCTTCTTCCTGCCCCCATCCCAAGACATTTTATATCAAGGCAATGTGTCTTCTTCCAATCTCCCTTATCAAGTATCAAATGTCATTCTATTAGTAATTCCATTTTTACTTCATCTTTAAATTAAAATAAGTATGTATTGTCATCCTGTACAATAATAGTATTTTTTTCCATTACCTACACAAACCGGGGACTGTCCTTGTGTGCATTTCCATAGTGCACAGGGATAGTGGCCAGTTTGTGTGTCCATTACATTTATATTAAAATAGTCAAAAGGGCCTCTGCGCAGTTGGTTTTGTCCCCTCGTACGCCTCCCAAAGGACTGGGACCCTATGATCCCGTGAATAGTAAAGACACATAGTAAGAATAACTCTCTATTGACAACAAGTTTACCTACGCTATTAAAAGGAAATCCCTTACCCCTGAACTAGTTTCAACTTTCAACTGTAGGTACTACAAGAGTCAATATCCTCACCCAAAGTTACGATGATAGTTAGACCGTCGTGGTGCTATATTTTGCATTCACTGCGTCTACCTGCATAATTTTCTTCATAAACACAATTCTACAGTAGTAACACGAGGTTACACAATCAATTAATTCTAATTTCGCTCCAAGGAAGCCTTCATCATGCCTCCATACATTTATTTTGACCTTCGTTGTAAATTTTCTCGGCATGCAATTTCACAAATTGTTCCAACATTAACCAAAAGTATAACAATATTGATATTAAGTTTGTTTTGTCGTTTTATTGTATCACAATTGGCTTTCTAATCATAGCAAATATTTAGGTTAGTAACAGAAATAGTTTTTTGATGTAGAGAAATCATCCACAAGCTGTTCAGTTCTCCCTTATTGGATAAGGCGAGACGGAGAGTCAGGTTCTTTACTGACAAGAAATCACCCTGTTCCAATTCCTGCTTCTCGAGCCTTCGTACTGTTAAGTTGTCCTCAGCTAGCAAAAAGTCATTGTACTGTAGTATTGCCTTAAATAGTTAAATCTAGGGACTAAAACGTGCACGGGCCTGCGGACGGCGAGCACGGGTGACTCGCCGCCCGACCAGAACCAGGCCCGAGCGTACGGCGCGTCGCGTTCCGCGCGCGCCTCAAGGAGCCAACAGACCACCACAGATGGGGCCTAACAGGGCTGATGCCGATACGGAGCCGCGGAAGACTTAACGGGTTGCCGGGGCTCCGGTTCGAAGTGCAGGAGTAGGAACGGGGTGGTTTTTAGTCAGTAAGAGTCTGACACTCCCTCCCGCCTCACCCGGGCGGGAGAAGTCATTGGATGATTTTCCCCCCTCAAAAAAAAAAAAGGGACTAAAACGTATACTTAACTCGAGATGCAAAATCATAATTGTGCACTTAATGTACACAAACGAATTAATTTATACAGTCCACGGAACTCATACGAAGCTATAAAGCTAAATTTATCAACATATTTCTCCATAATAAATATTAGAGCCAGTTTTATGAGAGAGTACAATGGGGTGGGTTTTATCGTCGCTCTCGGCCCTTGATGTATAATAAAACGGATTAATAGTTTATTCTCGGCATATCAGAATACATATTCACACAATTTATTGTAAGAACGATGACATAGACATTTATTTAATAACTAGCGACCCGCCCCGGCTTCGCACGGGTGCAATATGTATATACATACAAACCTTCCTTAAGAATCACTCTATCTATTAAAAAAAACCGCATCAAAATCCGTTGCGTAGTTTTAAAGATCTAAGCATACATACGGACATACAGCGAAAGCGACTTTGTTTTATACTATGTATTGATAAATATTTCGGATCATGCTAAAAACATCTATCATCATCTATCTATCTACACGCTGTATTTCATCCCAATCTGTTCAATAGTTTTGTAAATTGCAAGAGAAAATAGTGATAGATTTCTCACAAGACTATTTTATAGTATTTTTTTAGTCCAACACCGCGAAATATTTTATAGTTCCTTATTACGAAGCTTGAGCAAAAGTGATATATGCTGACAGTTTTATATTTTTTCAATTAACTTTACAGTCAGTAATTAATATTTTTTATTAATATTAGTTCTAAGAGCGGTTTTGTACGTGTGTAATTTAAAAAGTAAAAGAAATGCCACTTTGTAATAATAAGGACGCCTCAAACACAGAATACTACCTAAATGTTATAGAAGGGGCAGTGTTGCTACATAATATTCAAGTACTCACCTGGCTCGTTGGCCAAGTCGTCGCAAGTGCGACTGACGGGCAAGGGGTCTCGGTTTCGATTCCCGGGCTGGGCAAAGTATTACTGGGTTTTTTTTTAAATTCTCAGTAGTAGCACGGAGTCTGGAATTATGCCCGGTCAATGGCAATAAGTTCACCCCCTATTACATGGGACTCATAACATAAATAGTGAAAAGTGGGTGTAACATTGTACAGTAGCATAAGGTGCACCTCTGCTTACCTCTTCAGGGATAAAAGGCGTGATGTTATGTCCCATCACGCCTTTTATCCCTGAAGAGATGGAGGGGGTGAATCTATTACCATATACCGGGCACAATTCCAGACTGCGTGCTACTACTGGGATTTTTTAAAAAACCCAGTAATACTTTGCCCGACCCGAGACCCATGTTTAATCTGTTGACAACATCAAGTAAATATCGATTCCAAACAAAGTTGCTTCGCCTTGTCAAAAGCCTTACTCTAATCTAAGCACGGGAGGGAGTTCCCCAAGGCACAAAGTTTATTATTTTTTAAAATGTAACACAAATCTTCTCAAATCTTTTAAACAATGAAGTCATATACCGTTCATTTATTATTGTCCTTTACTATTGTTTAATAAAAGTGACTTATTGTACTATTATTTAGATTTTGCAATTACAACTATTGTTTAATTTCACAGGCAGACAGTGTTAACCTATGTATATTAATAATGGTTCTGTTTATTAATGCGAAGGCTGTATGTGTTTATGTTTATTAATCTGTACTGATACTAGGTACATAAAATGAATGTAAGGTATATGTACGACATATACCTTCAAATATACCAAAATGGCTAGATGGATTCGGATGAACTTTAATACATTTTTGTTTAGTCAGTTTTGTAGTGTTGCAAATGTTGCAAATTTTTATCAAAATAAAATAGAGGAATAATATGGCTGGTATTTTTTTTATGAAATAGGAGGCAAACGAGCAGACGCATCACTTGATGGTAAGCGATCAACGCCGCCCATGGACACCCGCAACACCAGATAGTACCGATAAATTTGTTTAATAGTACCGTCACGAGTGGGGTTGTGAGAAAATACTAGTTGTTTCGAAAAGTTGTTAACAGAAACCTTTGTAAATCCTTCTATTGTTAACTTGAAAGTGAATTTTGCAAATAATACTTAAAGGTCTTCAGATATTTGGTATTCCTAGTAAACTTATAATACAAAAGTTTACTAATTTTTACTGCGTTTTTAAAAATCTCAGTAGTAGCACGGAGTCTGGAAATGTGCGCGGTATATGGCAATAGGCTCACTCCCTGTTACATGGGACTCATAACATAAATAGTGAAAAGTGGGTGTTACATGGTACAGTGGCATTAAGTGCCGTAATGTGCACCACTGCCTACCCTTTCGGGGATAAAAAGGCGTGATGTTATGTTTTTATGTTTTACTAATTTGCTTAAAGGTTAGTATCAATACCCATTGCACTTTAATGTCTACAATAACTCGTATATGGGATACCTACGCAAGTAATTTTCACACAGGTACAAATACCTAATCTTGTGTTATCATTACCATCCACTACCAGTATTAGCCATACCAGTATTATCATTTCTCTATCTTTAACGTCATCAATGACTAATTAAAGCTCACCAATTATTCAGCAGGCGACAATCGTCTTTAATGATATCCGACTTTAAGATATACTATCGCGTAAACCTGATCAAGTATTTGTATTCTGAAATTTCAATAATGCATACAATTTCCTTAATAATTTCCAGTTGAATATTGTGATTATTGATAAAATACCAACTGTTTTCCTGTTTTTACCCGACTGCCAAAGAAGGAGGGTAATGTTTTTACTGAAGTATTATCTAAAGTGAACCACTAAACACTTAGGTAATTCCTATAATTCCATGAACATCTGAAAGTTTCTCTTATCTAAGAATACATAATTAACAATTGCGTAGTTTAAATTTATTTGATAAGGTATCTTAAGATTACGAATCTTTCGATAAAACAAATCGGTCATTTATATGTTTTATGACATTGGTTGTGATCAATATAGAGATAAGTATAGATTATTGTGTCCAAATTCGCTACTGAGGTATTCAGATTTAAGTCTTACTGTGGGTAAGACGTTTAGAATTTGGATCAATTTAGACATTTTAACATGAAATCAGATACAGGTAAATTTTTGATTTCGTTGTGATTTTTGGTGTAATTTCGTAATGGTGACATTTTTGAATTGAATAATATAGTGAAGTGGAAGTGGCTATTAATTTAGATTTATTTAATTAAAAAAATATTTAAAAATTAAACGATTGTTATTATAAAGAAAAAATAAGTTTCCACTTGAAAGTGCAGTAGAGGCAGGCCAGGCAAAAACAAAAATGATTAAAACAATAATTTAAGAACACCAATTTACTGCAACCACCTCTAAAATCTCAACTTAGTGTCACAATATCTATAATAACTCATTGTCTTTAATTTGTTGCAGATGAAATTGGTGGACAAGACAACTACACTATGGCGTCGATAAATTCAAATGAAAAAAGTCCGGGGGATCCGCCGGATAAAAAACTAGCAGAGGCGGATGCAGAAAAACAACCACTATCAGGAGTAAGTATTAATAAGCAATATAAAACTATTAACATAATATTTAGAAAAAACCCAATTATTAAAAAAAAACCCAATTATTCACTTAACCTAGTTTTTAAATTACGTGGTAATAGATTTGATTTGCTATAATATTTTGACACATAAAGTTGTAAAGACTAATATTGCTTATATGTTCTTTAAACTGTCCAACACCGCGAGGACACCGGTGACCGCAACCCATTGTTCTTTAATTGTGTCTATAACGACGGTACTCAAAGAGTTAATGCTTCTCAACTATGAGATGACCACTTTTTAACTGAAAAAATAACATTAGATATAATTGATACAAAACCTGCAGAATCCGAACTGGTAGGATAAACATTTGTACCTTATTGAAATAAACTCCATAACTGTAACCAAAACTATCGGATATCCGATATAAAAAATTTCCGTAACCGAATCCGAAATAAATGTTTCGAATACTATCGGATAGCGGCGTGACGTATAAATGAAACCAGTATATTAGGTATTTATATTTTACTTTTGAAATTACTTCAACTTTTAATATCCGTAATAATTATAGAAATAATTTCCTATCCGTATCCGTAACCATATTCAGTATAATAATCATTTCTATATCCGTATCCAATCCATATTCGAAATTTTATATCCATAACATCCCTGCTCTAGAGATACTGTTAACTTCTTGGAAAGCAGATCTCAGCTAGGCTAAAAATATTTTTATTGTGGCTCACATAAAGTTTAGTAATATTTAAAAATTCGTCAAACAGGTAGAATTTATTCAATGCATAGATAGATTAGAAGGAAATAACTAGCAAATCTATTACCACCAATCAGATCGAAATTATGATAAGTTAAAACCCAAAATCGTGTGATGATAAGTCTAATTCATTTTAATAGATATAATTAAGTATATTAGTTAGGGGAAAAACCATTATAGTGAATGTAGATTGGTCATTTTTTAATTTTTATCCGACTACGGCGAAGCCAAAACGAGGATTACGATATTTTTTATTGTCCCATCAACTTCATCTAATTGTAATTTTTCTTGTTTACCCCTCTGCTTACCCTATTGGAAGAATCCTGTGATTGTAGGTATTACTCTTTATTATGTACCTTGACATAATTTGTAATTGCTTGGCATCAATCATTGACACTCATCATGTTCTATATTAGTGACATTAATTCTATTAGCTTTATCATCTCTCCAATCAATACCTATTGCATGATTTATTGTATCTTTAATTGGATGAGAGTTGCTTGTTTTGTAATTATTGTGAGTTTTGGCTTTTGCCAGTAGGCAAAAGACCATATTGCTCAATACTCTCATTGAGCAACTACAAAACGCACTTCTGGAACTACATTTTTCCATATTCTTACACAATTGGTATCTGCTTCACCTACACAATAAAAGGAATCTAAATTCTACGCAAACGGAACCACATGCAGAAAACTAGTGCAAAATAAATTAAAACAAAATTATCAAAAATAAATAAATCGGAATCGAAGCCGATCAATCAAGGAGCGATTGTTAATGACAATGTAATCTGTGACAAATATTATACTTACGATTAATTAATTAATCTTCTGCCCCGCACGATAGCCACCACATGTTTTACACTTCATTATCAAGTTTTAGGTTAATTACCAAGTCATTAGGTTTATTTTTTAATATCATCTTTGGGTTAATTGTCTTCCCTGCGACTTTTCTCCTGCATTTCTTCAATTCATCATCATTTGACGTAATGTGGCCGCATGGACTTCATCATTTTTGAGAAGCCTTTTTTTGTATACCTGATGGACCGACGTCTGACCACTATCCCGCCTGGTGGTATGATGATGCGGTCTACGATGGAGCGCATTGCAAGGTGCACTTAGGCTATGGATCGTAAGCGTTTTGTATCAAAACCGACTTAAAACGTAATGCGTCGTATAGTCGTGAGAAAATAAAATCACATTATCTATCTTTGTTTTTCCTGCTATCTGATAATCTCACCTTGTTCAATACCATAAAAGGCATGTAATAGTAATTACTAATTAGCATTGGCACTTATATACCTAATTATTGAGTGGCTGGCAATGATAAGAACTAATTAAGTAATGCGTCTTTAAGATGTGTTACCTACACTTGAGATTTTATTGATTATTAAACATCATGGAGGATAAGTGGTGAAGAAAGGATAATGTTTACGTTTTCATAACTTAGACTTAGTGTCTTAAACTATAAATAACTATAATCTTCAAAGGGATATGCAGACATGCACATCTACAATGTAACACCTACTTTTCACAATATTATATTATGGGTCCCAGGAAATCACCCGGAGGAAACCTCATACTATATACCGGCCACAATGCCATACTTCGTAAGAAGTACGAAAAAATTTACAAAATATTTTAATAACACTAATGAGCAATATTATATGAATCTTATAAGAGGATAATTTGTAATGTATTGTTTAGAAATCAGAACTCTAATAATAATCCCTAAACAATTAGAACGTCGATTGCAATAAATAGGCTCAAACTAATCCGTTTGCTATCTCGATTGATATGAATGTGCGTACATTATATATCTGATGTATTACGTATTGTATTGGATTTAGATACTAACAAATCGTTCCGGCTCGGCACGGGTGCAATTTGATAAATATTTGCTGGAGAATCTTCCTTCAGAATTTTTCTTTCGTCAACCATACTAGGCGAATTGGTTGGTTGGTCCAACACTGATTTATTATATAAAATAGACAATAAGAGAGTGAAGATTCAATCCAAATATAAGCTGATACTTTAAATTCAGTTTTGTTACCTCTTTATGCTTTATCTATTGAAAAAATCTTAAAATTATGGACCCTTACATTTGAGCAAAACGACAAAGACTGAGTCGACGGGGTCTTATAAGTATAGAAACCATAATGAAAAGTGCCTAACATGAAAAAAAATGGAGAAAGAAAAACATGTACACGATATAAAACAAGAAATAAGTACAGACTAATAAACTGCAGAAGTAATAGACATTAAAAATTATACCCACTTTCATAAATCATCATACGGGCTATTGTCCATATAAATATAAATTAATTATTATGACGACCCTGTGCTAAAAAAGTAATAACACAATTGACATTGCAATCGACTTTAGTGTACTCGAGATAATAGTGTCTTTATTGTGAAAGAAATTTATATCCTAAGTAGTGGCTGATTGAATTGAAGAAAAATGTTGATTTATGTTGATTGGCCCTGGATGATTCTATGATCCAAAAAATTTGACGAGGGATCTGACCATGAAGCACTTCGATCTTATTTACGTAATGGATCTGACCCTAAGAACAAATTAAACTGTCAAACACCGAGCGGTCACCGGTGACCGCAACCTATTGTTCTTTAATTGTGTCTATAATGACGGTATTCAACGAGTTAAAAATGTTTCTTCTTAAAATACTGATGTTTAGTCGAATCTAATTTAGGCCAAATGCCGATAATAATTTATTGAAAAGCCTTTGGAATATTAAGATCATTGGAAGAAATGGAAGTAGTAACATATTATCATAAATAAAATAAAAAATAAAATAAAATAAAATAAAATAAGCCTTTATTACTGAGGTTACAATTTAGTCTATATCACTATACTATACATCAGTAGTTTTATCCCCAGCTTGTCCTTCGACATAGGCCTCCTCCAAGGATTTCCAGTTTTCCCTATCCCTCGCAATTCTCATCCACTCTGGTCCAGCAGTTTTCCTTAGGTCATCTTCCCAACGTTTTGGTTGTCGCCCTTTGCTCCTTTTCCCATCTCTGGGGTATATGATAAGAGAGAGGAATATGAAATGGACAAAGACAATATCAGAATGGTACCCCAGATATATTATCATAGCTGACTGTTAATTGGGATAAAACTGAAAAATGTCCCATTGTACAAACACATCTAATCGTATTACAACAATCTCAGAACAAGTCCAGTCCTGTGCTGGACATACCTCTATTATCTAAAGGAGGCAGACTAATCATGATCATGATCAAGATACCTAATATTGTTTTTGGAAAACAATTTTAGGCTCTTGACATCTGTCTATTTGACAACCTTTTGTCATTTTTGTAAACATCTTTTTATCATTTTGGTAACCTATTTTTTTAGAAAATGTAGTGTTTATATTTTTAGCAATTTTACTAGTACACCGTTACATCAGGCCCGCCTGGGCCCATCAGAGGAGGCGTCGTTTACCTCATGAAAAGCACGAATTAGATTCATCACAGGCTTTTTGGGTAATAGTATTATTTCTTTAAATAATGCCTAAGTTATCAACGATAACAGTGTTTTTCAAACATAAACCGACTTTAAGGACTTAATTAAGGAAATATTAAGCTTAAAATGAGATTACTGAAGCTTCCTCATACTTTTTATCACTATTAAACCATCTGTTGTAATTTTATAAGGTAAATTGATTGTTATGTCTGCAATTTCATGTAATTTTGTCCTTGTGGGAGTCATTTTCATATTTAATATCACTTGTGCTTCATTATCATTAGTATCTAAAGCTACATAAACCATGACGTTCTAAATACAACTGACCGAATTGAAACCAAGGTCAAAAGGGATATTTACTATGCAAAATGTAATATTATCTGTATTATAGTAATCTAAACCATTGACCTATTTCTGCCTTTTAGAATTATTATCATAGAGTTTATATTAGAGACCCGTAGCTTAACTTCGAGGGTTATATATGTTAAGTCTGCTAAACGATTGTTCGAATTGTAATGCAAAACAACCCTTTATCTCTAAAAAGTACTTGGACTTGAATGATTCATTGAATATGTATCAATCAATCGGTGGACTGCTCGAAATAATTATAATATAAGGCTTACTTACTTGCACTCTACTGCTGTTTTCTATTTGCACTCTGCTTTTCTAGAACACGCTATCACTTAAACGGCTTTGAAGTTTCGTTTTACCGAAATATTTTTGATATTCCACACCGAGTTATAGTTAAATAAGAAAAAACTTGGCAGAATAGCCAGTATCACGCTACATAAGAAGATTTGCCATAAACACCACACTTGGCAGGGTACCCCGAATGAGTGCGTAGCCAAAATAACCTGATCTTCAATTATTGAGATTATTTTATACAGAGAATGGTTAGCGTAAATTGGACAGTCTTAACTCAAATCTAACTATAGTACCTTTGTTTCAGAAGAAAGAGGAACGATGGTGGTCAACGTTGATGCAAGTGGCTGTGCCATTCTTCATTGCTGGATGTGGTACAATCGGAGCTGGATTAGTTTTGGGCCATGTCAAGGTGAGTTGGGGTTTATTTTGTGATAGTTACGATTGAAAATTGTACAAATTCAACTGTATTTTCATGCTTGGTTTTGTGATTTCGTAATAATAAGTTCTGAAGAACTGCCTCATGGTTTCTGATTGCCTACAGTTGTCTCACATTCGCACGTGTATATATACACGTGCGTATCTTAACATATGTTAAGATGAAATAAAGATAAAAATATATAAATGCCTACAACTAAAGATGATGACACTAAAGCAGTATATTTAAAGTATTACAAGAGGCAAGGCATTACGTGAGCGGCCACTGTCAAATAGATACCACGATGGCGCGATATTGATGTCAAAATGACAAGATCAAATCAGTAACATTATCGGCAAATCACAGTATCTATCTTTGAAGTGTCTGACTAAATAGTTTAGGCAAATGAAAATAATAAAATATCTATCGATGGATATATCTATCAGTTGAGTATCTATATTTTTGTAGGTACAGTTAGGTCTAGGCTATCATTGATTTTTGATACAAATCATATCACGTTTTTGAGACATCCTTTTTAATTATCTTTGATAAACTTTATTTTTGGTTTTGCACGTGTGTTTTTATGCTAATTATTATCAGTCCAAAGTTTAATTAGTAAAATTGCGTCCAGTAATTACGTGTACTTGGCAACGTTTTAATTTGTCTTTGAAGGAAGTTCAAGTTTATCAGAGAGTGTAACTGTGTAGATTGTGGCTTTTACGACGTCTGTAAGAAAAATGAGAAGGGAAATTGACAATGTTCCTATCATATATGATCTGACAAAAATGTGTGTACACGTGTTTTTACCTCCTTGCTATTATCTCGTATTATGTTTTTGTTATTTGTCATTTAGCCCATAACGTTGTCACCGTAAATTAAGCTCAAATAACGTCTATTAGCTTAGTCTGAGAGATGAAAAAAACCTAAATACCCATTACAGTGTATTGCACAGATTTTTTACATAATTGTTTTTAGCAGAATACTTTATAGTTACTTTTCCGTTTCTGGTGGTCGATTCGAGAGTCATTGTTTTGTAAGATTTTAAGGTCAAATTGTTTTAATGTTTTCAATGTAAAAAGACATTGTTTCGGTGTGAATTTACCTTTTACTTGCACATCGCAGCATCGCTTTGAGATAAAAGGAAGGTTACAGCACTATCTTAATGTGTCCTTTGAAGTTATGCTAGTTATTTTCATAGAGTTTTCGTAATACTTTTGTAAACCGAAAAGTAATCCTATCAAGGTTTATTAACGCAATACTCAGTATCTTTAATTATAAGAACTGAAAGTCCAAAGCCGCGGCGAACTTAACAGGTTGCCGGGGCTCCGGTTCGAATTGCAGGAGTAGGGACGGGGTGGTCTTTAGTCAGTAAAAGTCTGACACGAGAGGGATCTCGCCTCACCTGGGCGGGAGAAGCCAATGGATAATTTCCCCCCTCAAAAAAACCTATATTATAAGAACCAAAAGTCCAAAAGTCTGACGATGTCTCGTGAAAATACAAGTCATCCAAAATGACTTATCCTGATTGATTTCCATTTTTAACCGGATTATAAAATACAAGATAACTCTTTGTTCCAGGAATGGGCTGTATTCGTCAACGTGTCAGCCATATTTGTTTTGGTGCCGTCTCTCTCTGGTCTTAAAGGTGAGTTGTGTTTAACACTTTTACCATTATTAGTGAACTTATTGTCAAATTTTGTGTGAGGGCTGGTCATAGGACTGAGTTAATATTATTTTCAAACGGACTGGCATTAGTGCCAATGCCAATGCCATTGACCTTTTCGTACTATTGAACCATTGTCATCCATTCTATATCGATCGCTTGACAAATGAGTCAATTTCTCCGTATTGCTTGTGTCGCAAGTTAAAGTAATCCAATTACTTTATGATTAATGAATTATTTTCAACCTTATCATCTACTTTCCCTTTTTATTCTGAATTATTGTGTTAGTTCCTTAGAAATCTACAATTCTTAGTTGACGTAGATATGATTCACATATGTTTTTATAATAACTATCGTGAGACATACTAAATTAAGTAAAATCGCAGGTTACTCACGTGAATATACTGAGAAAAGCTCTACTATATATATAATAAAGAAAAGAAAAGCGGTCGCGGCGACGTCGCGCACGCTGCTCATGAGGAAGAACCCCTCTGTGGTTCGAAACTAGTAGAGCTTTTCTCAGTATATTCACGTGAGTAACCCGCGATTTTACTTAATAATGATTCACATACGCAAATAAATGTGGACGTTTGAGATGAAATAGCAAAACTAATTCATCATCGGACTGAATGACCACTTATCTTGATTAGATCGGCCTTTTATACGTTCATGATTAGATTTAAATATTTCAAACGTTATCATTACTTGTATTTGTAGGAAAATGGTGAAATTTTAGTTTTTATCGTACATAAAATCTAATCTCGTAGGTAACACTTAAAGACCTTCCTTCCTAAAAGGCCTTCTGCCAATACAGATTGTATCAATCAAAATACACATTTGCAAATATCTTTATCTTAATATTGACTCATTTCTTATTACGTCAATAAGTATTACGAAAGAATATGGCTGTTTCCTGCCCTGTTGTTTTAACTAATCGTATCGATATTTTTATTTTAGTAACATGTACTTTGAACGTACTTTCAAATTCAAATCAAGTAATACCTTAGTCTAATTTATTGAATCAAAATTCTTTACATTTTTTTACGGCATAAGCCGGCAAACGAACATTCAGATCACCTGATGGTAAGCAATCGGCGTCACCCATGGACACCTAGAACACCAGAGACGTTACAACTGCGTTACCGGCCTTTTGGGGATTAGAAGTTTAAGGATTGTTGGGGATTCAGGGATTGGGTAAGGGGAGGGGGGGGGGGGTAACTGGGCCTCCGGTAACCTCACTCACACGGCAAAACATAACGCAAGCGTTGCTTCACGTCGGTTTTCTGTGAGGTATCACTCCGTCCATCAGTGATATCACTCCGGTCGAGCCGGCCCATTCGTGCCGAAGCATGGCTCTCCCGCACATACGTATTTTATCTGAAATTAAATGAAATATAAACTCACGTATTAGATTCTTATTCTATTTCTAAAAATGATTGTCTATCAAAAAACGTAACCATTTTTAACAAATTATTTCGTAAAACAATTGGTTTCAAAGTTATTTTCAAAAGAATCTAACATAACATTCATAATGATTCATGGCCTCTTCATGGTACTTAATTCTGTTTCTGCAGAAGTTTCCGTGATTCAGAATAACATAGTTTAGAGATAAAAATATGTCATTTACTTGAATACGAGGTAGATTGTAGTATAATTACACACATGTAATTGCTGTGTTATCTTGGACAAAAGAAGATTGATGCCAACGTATTATTTTTGTCCTACAGTTTAATGTGTAGGAATTTGAATGTTTTATATAAGACGTAGATACGTAAATAGTGACAAACTTGATTTATTTTTGTAAATAGGCAACAAAACATTATACAATATCTAAATGAGGCATTCACGCACATGAACAACTATTAGGTTAAAAAAGAGATGGACTTCTGAGTTTGTTTCGGCATTTCTTCTCAGAGTACCTAGTCAGTTAGGAAATGTCGGCCTCATCGTTCGCTTGATAAAACTGACGTGTAAAAGTGCTAGTACCTATTTGCAGAAATAAATTCACTTGTTAACCACAGATCCCGGCTTCAAACTTGATCAATATTATGTGCCTACGTTTGCTAAATCCTACTATCCTACTAATATTATAAAGGCGAAAGTTTGTGATGTTTCTCGCCAAAACAGCTGAAGGGATCAAAATGAAATTTGAAATAGGGGTATATTATGCTCTGGAATAACACTTAAGCTAATTTTATCCCCACGGAAACGGGGGCGACACAGCTGGTGGAAGATAGTACTTACTTAAATAATTTAAATTTGCATTTCCTGCTAAACTACTCTAAGAAGAATACCGACTGAAATTCAGAGGTCAAAGTCAAAGCATTTATTTCAATTAATCCTTATTTAGATACTTTTGAAACGCCAAAAATTTAATTGTCCGTCCGTCTGTCTGTCAATAAATCTAGGCATAGCTCTTTTAATGTTACATGCACAGGGGTGCATGGACACATTACGACACTAAATGCCACTGTACAATGTAACACCCACTTTTCACTATTTATGTTGTGAGGCTCATGTAATAGGGGTAAGCCTGTTGCCATATACCGGGTACAAAAGTTTTATACAATGATCTTGGTAATAATATAAATTATATAATGTATACTGGTACTTATGCGACGCGTTTGTAAATAAAAGAACCACAAGGAAAAGAATAACAAAGTAATTCAATCAATATTGATAATTAAATATTGGTTTGCTTTATGTAATTTCCTTAAGGGAAAAACTAAAGTTCATCATTTGTGGCGTTACCCGAAAACCCATTTAGGAAAAGTAAATATTTTTAATTGTTATTTTACAAAGTTAAAGTACTTAATCGGTTATGTTTGTTCAAATAAAATGTCGCGTTATTTCTGGGTATTATTTTAAGTTATTATTTATTTCAAATTACATTGAAAATTACCACTAATAACTAATTTAGGAATGAAAGTAGAGTAACGAAAGAAGTATACAGAGCGTCGTCGGTAGAGGGCGCCCTAGACGGACATATACTGACCAGTGGTATAGGCGATATATTAAAGAAGAGCCAAATTAAAAGTACCCTTAACTACAAGCATGCATGAAAAGACCGTTGAATGTTGATGAAGCTAAAGAGATATGTAAGAATCCTAGCTATTGGAGTTCCATAGTCTCCGCCTAATCCCATGGGGAACAGGTTCCAGTTTATGTACGTATGTAACTAGTCTATGAATTTATTTCCATCTTATATACCTTATAAATGTGAAGAGTTTATTTGTTTGTTTGTTTGAGCACGCTTATCTCAGGAACTACTGCTCCGATTTGGAAAAAATATTTTAGTGTTGTATAATCCATTAGTCGAGGAAGGCTATACAGGCTATAAACATCACACCATGACGATGACGTATGTAGATAGATTGTAAGGAAAAACAGATCGATGACTTTATAATACAAAAGAAAAAACCTTTGCGTGCATATAATAGATAGTCAGGTACTTGTAATGGTTGTTGCAGAGAAAAATACTTGCAAATGGACATATTATAGTAAACACAGGTGTTTTCTATTGTATTTCTATAGTAGATTAAGTGATGGAACGTGTACAACTTGATAAGTACTACCTAGCTATTTATTTATCAAGTAGCTTTTAGTGTTTTTTAATCGACTCAAAAAGGTGGTCCTGAATTTGACCTGTATATTTATGTTTCTGCGCTATTATCTGGCAATTGACTGAACCTATTGTGATGCGGTTTTCAAAAATGTATTCGTTAGTTACTTAAGAGAAGGTGTTAGTAAATTAATGAAACGACTTCAAAAAACTACTGGGTTAAAGTCATTTTTTTTAAACGTAGTTAATAAAAGTATTGGTTATAGATTCACACTTTTCCTGAATATATTTGTAATGATGTACCTTTATATGCTGGCTTCAGAGCCAAAGTATAGGACAACGTTATAGAAAAAATGTATCCCTTATGCCTTGTTCACACTACGCTAGTCAATGATATTATAAAACTAATACGTCATTGACGCTAGTATTTTAGTCGAGTAGCGAATATTCAATAATCCTCTCTCGCTTCTGTCCCAAAATGGGAGTGAGAGAGAACTACTAAATATTCGCAACTTGACTGAATTACTAACATCGTGCGAACAAGGCATTAAGGACATTACAGCGTGTTAGTAGCAGTTTTATACATGAACAATACAATACAAAATTGCAAATGTTAAAGTCGGTACTTAATTTCAGTTCATACTATGTATGTGTAATGAAACAAAGCAATTTCTTTCGGTCTGTTATAAGAGGCTCTTATACAGGGGAAGTCCATGCAAGTTCCTATTAAAATAAGTGTTTAGTCATACGACATTATTTCAGTTATGCAATTTAACATTTTTGCAAGGATAACTTTGTAAACGCATACGTACCTACTTAAATCAGGTATGATATATATAGTAAATATGAAGAATTTTTCTCAATTTTAGTTTGAATCATATGACTTATTTGCTAGAAGTACTTATAAAAAATAACTTTCTTAAAATAAAAAATCTACTTCTTCTTAAATTATTTTAACAAAATTCGTATAGGTATAAATCGACATGAATTAAAAACAAATGTACCTTCCATACATTTCAATTGAATTTCTAACTTTATGGATTCGGTTATTATCGATTATAACATTACCTATGAGCCTATGAACCTATGAACAAAATCATTATTATCTAATTTGAACCGAATTCCATACGTAATCTGTAGATTAATGTAGGTATAATATAAAAGATAATGTCAAAGAATGGCTTTTAAAACATCAAATTAAAATTACCTATTTCAAAACCTAGATTCCATATGGAAAGGAAAGACCAAGAAATACTATCGTTACGCTTATTGTTTCACCTTTACATAATATGGCGTCTGAGAACAAAAGATGCGATACACGTCTTAATTACAAACTTAACATTGCGACTATAGACGAGGTCAGTACCATTGTTTTGAAACATTACCCTCATTTATTACCCGACTTAGCAGTGTTTATGTTAGTCAAAGGGGCGCCGCGTGTGCTCACACTCGCACTTTATGACACTGCGCCAATGTCGCTTTGACAGGCTGAGGTGCTCGTCACGTTCGCGACCATCTTGCTTTGTTTTCGTCTACGAATGATGGAGGCACTGATTACATGTTCGACTTGGACGCACATGTGCCGACCAATGTCAAAGTCAAAGCATTTATTTCAATCAATCCATAATTAGGCACTTTTGAAATGCTAAAATTGAATTGCCCGTCAATCTATCTATCAATGAAGCCAGGTGGTCGTTCCAAAGTGACATTGGCGCAGTGTGGAGAACGAGTGCGAATGCCGCAGCTTCAAAGGCTTCAAACCATATCAGTAACATAGGTTCGGTTACTACTTTATCAACGTAAACAATTCTCTAGACTGTGCTTATTTAAATAGGATCCTCAATATAAATAATTGATAAGCTTTGTTTTGCAGTCAGCAGTCATAAATCTTTATTATTTAACGAGTCTAACTGGTCTGGTGACCTTTGGCTGTTCGTGTATACCTACATCCTATTAATCTACTACCTAATATTAAGTATAATGCACAACTCTGTGAAGATGTAAACTTCCTATTTATGCCCTTTGATTTTTATCTCCTCAAAAATTTCTAATCGAACCTATCCTTAGAATGCTTATATTATCAAGGTTGTCATGCAAAAATCAACCTTGTGGTTTTATGATGTAGTGCAACTTTCGAATGATAAGTATATTTATGGCAGAACATAAATAAAACAGATGTTATCAAATAGGGTCACTGTGTTTTAATAAATAAATAGTAAGATAAAACTACCTCGATGCAGTATGCAATTTTGGACCTCCCATCGCCTTTCGATCTATATTGATTCGAGATTGGTGTAACTTTGTTACCTTTACGTTATTTTAATATTATTAAAGATTTAATTGGAAAATGTCTATCAATGACAAATCTCGATCTTAGTATAATTCAACTTTAAATATAAAACTTCAAAAAAGCTTTCTTTAATTTTAAACAATAATAAAAGACCGCCACCCGCGCCCACACAAAAGGGACCAGACTACATTTTAGCTACGAAATTACTTAGTTACAAAAATAATGCATTTTTAATCAGTACATCTGTAACGACATATTTAAAAGATTAAGTCTGTACCTATTGTAAAATACTTGATAATGACCCAGGCTTTTATTGATAAAGTACTAGATTAAATATTAAAAAAAGATATTAGATAAATAATATTAACATTGTTGACTAAGTGCATCCGTACCTACAATCATGTATGTAATAGTAGAATGTAGATATATGTATTGCGAATTAAAAAATTAAAAACTACAACATTGTTTCACCCAGAGACCTCTAATTTAGAACATCGAAACGATAAAATTAGATATAATCTTGAAAATAATGAAACAGAATATATACTTAGTCCGTCCACAGCATTTACAAATTTTCAGTTCCTTGACAACCTATTCATTTTTCATAGCACCTTGAAGAAAATAAAAAAAATCAACAGTCACACTCCAGTGTCCCTAAAGATAAAGAGCAAACTATGTATAATGCAAAATAACTAAGTTCAAAACCGAAGCTTAGGTAAAACTACGAGAAATGTATACTATGTTGGTATAAAATATTTACTAAATTATATTTTATTTGGTCTCCAGGTAATCTGGACATGTGTCTAGCGTCCAGACTGTCCACGCAGGCGAACCTTGGCAACATGTCGTCGACACGGGAAGTCATATCTATGGTCGTCGGAAACATATCACTAGTTCAGGTAAATATACAGGTCTTTTCCATTTAGAAAACTCAAGTTCTAGTCTTTTAGAAGACCGTACTAAATCTAATAATGCACTTTAGAAAAGTTTGCTCCAAATAAAATTTGATTCTTAAAATTCATTATTTGCTTTTTACTCTTTTGCCTAGTCGGCAGTTATAAATATCCATGCTCTCGACGGACTACTCAACATTGATACTACTACTCATGATCTCATTGCAAATCAAAGATGCGATAAGATCGAGATTAAGAATACGTGACAAAATTCAAACATCAATAGTCATAGAAAAAATAGATTTACTGCAAAATGATTGACATAATTATCTAAAAACCCTAGAATTCGGAAAACCCAACAATACGTACGACAGATTCCATAATTATTATCTAAACAATCGCTTTTGTGACGTAAAACCCAAGTACATTCGTACTCAAATTATTTCGCACACTTCCTTGTTAGAAAAACCGTAGAGTAAATAAATATACTATAACTACATATTTAAACAAACGTAAAGTCTTTAAATGGAGTAGTATTAGAGGTTCAATTTCTTTGTATTTACACGAGTCACTACGTCAATTCGAGTGACCACTTATATACAAACAATCTTGAGTTAAATTACTTGTTAAATTGGACTAGAATAAATGTTTGTTCGTTTATAGGAAAATGATGGAGTTTTAGATTTAATACCACATTTATTTGTGTTGCGGTTTACGAGTCTATATGATTGGATGACTTGAAGTTGTTAACAAACTATATTGGACTATATTTAAATACATATTGCACAATAGAAAGTGTCCTCTGTTCAATATCCCTTTCGTCACTAAACACTTTATTAAAAGGTCCTTAAGCTGAGGCTATGATTGATTTGAAATATTCTATCAAGTTTGAAATATTATATCTGATCCCATCAAGTAGCACTTTTTTTCATTTTTCATCCAACTGTCATCTTCAATACTGTCACACTGTCAGTACTGGAGTGTGAACTAACTTATGGTTTATCCACATTTGGAGGCCATAAGCAGTGGAATAATTACAGAATGATGATGGTGTTGATAAATGACACACATTTCATATCGATCTTGGCGTAAGTGAAGTCCTATAGTACCCTATTACTTACATCATTAAATCAGCTATACGACATCCACTGCTGATCATAGGCCTTTGCACAAAATCTTGCCCTTAGGTACTCCAAAATATCAAATCTTTACTCAAAAAATATGTCTGTCTTTACTCCAACAGGTACAAGCGATAGTAGCAGCGACGGTGGTGTCGATATTCGCGATAGTCGTGAACATTATCACCGACCGTGCCATCAACGGCTCCTACGTACTCCTGCTGATTGCCTCCGCAGTCTTCACGGCTACCACCACCTGCTTCGTTTTGGGTAAGTGGCTTCTGCTTCTTACTTTTATTCCTTTTCTATTACGAAAGAAAAACTTCAAAAGGCGACCGGAGTGATATCACAGCCTCACAGAAAACCGACGTGAAAGAAAGTTTGCGTTGTGTTTCGTCATGTGAGTGAGGTTACAGGAGACCCAACTATCCCCCCCTTCTCTCCAATCTGCCCAATACCTGAATCCCCGACATTCCTTAAACTGTCAAACACCAAGCGGTCACCGGTGACCGCGACCTATTGTTCTATAATTGTGTCTATAATGACAGTACTCGACGAGTTAAATTACTAATCCTCAAAAAGCCGGTAACGCACTCGTAACCTCTGGTGTTTCAGGTGTCCATGAGCGACGTCGATTGCTTACCATCAGGTGATTCGTCTGCTCTTTTACCGGCTTATCCTATAAAAAAATAGATTTTCTTCTCAAAAAGGAAGTGTAGGACTTTTACTTCATTAAATCTACCCTGATACTTAATTTCTTTTATATCTCTGAACATAAACTGTAGTATGTGACAACTATGTGCCTCGTCTACGTAAGAGGATTTGCTATATGTAATAAGTTCGCCAGTCCTGTTGTAGATAGCACTTTTTATATTTGATGGGCTGACCTTTGACCACTATCTCGCCTGGTGGTATATAAGAGAACGATATTACGGTCTGCACTTTAAGAGGTTCAGGTTTATTATTGCCTGGTCTCTAACAAATGTGTAGCCTTTTAGTAGATAAAGAAAGAAAGAAAGAAAGAAAGAAAAATAATTTATTCGCCACCAGACACGGACCACAGAATAATAACACACAAAATAAACATTGAAAAACAAAAATAAAAAAAATAAAAACAATAAGAACATAAAATAACAAAAAAAAAACAGCAGTAGTAGGCTCTTTCACGGGGGGAGAAGGGGTGGTTTTAAATGTATTCTTTTCTGCCATCATCACGCTGCTTATACACCATCACGCTGCTTATAACTCGACCTGTACCTTCATTTAGGTGGGCAAATGACATTATATAATCTGTATATTCTAACCATTTCAAAGATAATCTACACCACGTTCTCAAAAATAAGACTAACAACTTTTAAACCCGGAAAAATAAGCATCATTAAACTGTTATTGTTTCTTAGAAAATACAATAAAATATACACACATACGTGACCACACCTAAGCGACCCGGGGTCAGATGTTAATAGCGTATAATGATTTGTGAGCACGTAAATATATTAACAGTAACATTATGTTGGGATTGCTATTTATTGTAGTTTAATTTATGGGGTTTCGGTGCATAATTCTTTATTTGTTTTTATATGTTTTGGTTCCTTAGTTGGTAATATTTCAAGTGAGTAAAATAGGGGTTAAATATTGAAATTTTCTAATAGAGTAGTTTCCTAAATTTTATTTTAATGTCCGTCTGGTAAATTAATTTAAAACATTAGATAGTATTGTTTCTTTTCTCACAATATTTAATACTTTCGACGATATATTAATTTTAAATATCGTATAAAAAGTAGCACGTTGTGACGTGCCAACGTACCACTCCTAAACCTAAGACCATTTTATCTAAATAATGTAACTTTATACGACAAAATAAAAATCAAGTGTCCAATATTTTTTTCATTATGTAGGTAACTGACGCACATATTAGATTTTTTTTCATACTCTGACAACTACCTTATTCTTCTCTGGTATTGTGGGTGTCCAAAGACGGCGCTGATTCCTTGCTTAGATTTTAGCTGAGTACTGGTCTTTTTGCACTGTGTACATTGTTCTGTTTTCTTGAAACTATTTTTTAAGTTTGTTTTGTTTAATTTCTGTAACGGTGCAAATAAACTAGTTTTCTTTCTTCTTCTTCTTTCTTCTTACCATCAGGTGATCCGTGTATTTGTTTGCCCCCGATTCTATAAAAACCCACACTTTATTAAAACGAGACTTGCCAAATAGTTGGTGTAAATTGGGGCACATCTCTGTTTAGTGGTCATATTTTTACCTGACTTCATACTTCGTATTCGTTGGTACTACAGAAATTACATTTGCGTATAACCTCACTCACTCCTGCATAATAGACCAAAACACTTACGTCACTAAGTTCACAATCCTCTACCTCATCGCTTGCAGATTTCGTGATGGTGATGGTGATCTACGGTTCGCACAAGTTCAAAGTGAACCCTGACAACGTGGCAACACCACTAGCGGCATCTATCGGTGACATCGTGAGCAACACCGTGCTCGCGGTCACCGCCCAGTACATGTATGAGCAGATACGTAAGTTATTTTAGTAGTTTTCTTTTCAATTTTGTATTGTAGAACTTAGATTTTGATTAGTAAAAAGGCGAACAGAAAGACTACAAGTAATGGGAAATGGATAATTGTATATATTTGTTAATAAAATTATGTCCAAATGCGTATAGGTTTTTTCCTAGAAAAGGAAGTAGGAAGACTTCCTTGGAGTGTAAAAGTGGATGAAATCGTGGGTTGCTGTCTTTTTTTTTCTGTAGGATATATGATTTTAAAAATCCTCTCTCCTCCCTTTAAATTACAATATAGTCCCTCCTACCAAGCGAAATGCAATACTTTACAATACCGATTTCTAGAAATTACTATAATTAAATGATACACATGATAAAAAACTTTTTAATTTAATACCTTGGAAATTCTTAATACTGATAGATATAATACGTAAATCTAATAAATCCGTTAATTTTCAAAACTATAAGGTACTGATAGTGGAAGGAGTGAGAGAGGTGAGTTTAAATTGAAATAAATCTAAATAAAACATTTGGAGCATGCTTATTCTTTAGAAACTTCAAGAAAAAAGGTTTGACTCACTTCCCATAGCATTCTTCATAAATAGATACAACAAATATCTAATAATAAACTAAAATTAGTAGAATCTGCGTAGTGAGTGTTTTAATGTGTGTGTGTGACATCTAATCATTTGCATGCAATAGCAATTCCATTTAATTCTGAAAGTTACATTTAAATCGATTAGTTAAACATGGTCCCTAACAAAGAATAGATAACCGACAAATATTCAGTAATATCAACAGCGGTAGTAGTAACTGTTCCGGTCTTGTGGATGCGTTTACAAACATACAAGTTCACACACACATCACACCCAGACCTGGAACAACAATCTGTACATCACACAAAGAGTTGTTCATTTTGGGAACACGTGTCACAACGTGTAGTTGAGGTCTAGAGCCTCCTCTACCAGTCTTTGTCAAATGTGTAGTCCTTTAATCGACTCTTACAACACTCGCGCGACGTGCAGAGAACTATCTCTAGCACAAGCTAATAAATAAAACAGCATACATTTGAGATTATCAAATTTTCTGGTCTTTGTGATCAATCAAATCAAATCATGTAAAAGAAATGATAATAAAAAGCATGTATATTCCCGACCACACTGAACACATGCTAAATTCAAAACAGTCTCAATGCGTCACCTAATTGACCAGATTCTAATCTACCAATTAATTTACTAATCAAAAAACAATTTTATCTAAAACAAATAAAATATTTGGTTGGCGTTAGATTGACGTCAGAAAAAAGCTAATCCCATAATCATAGAAAAGTATTATTGTTATTGTTACATTTCGTCATCTCTGTCACTTCTCATGAGTTAGACAAAGCCAGAAGAATGTAGATTATAAAAAGAAATGTGTAGAAAATGAAAAGGCTAGGTACAGACGTCACAGAATTTGAGGAGATGGACTAATACTGTGTCTATAAGAAAGAAAACCTGCTCATTAAGTAGATTATCAATTCATTTACCTACTCAGTACATCGTCTTGTCTACTTCACACCGAAACTTCGTTCATTAAACAAAACTGCAACTTGGTACAAAATGCAGCCATTTTGGAGTCATTCTAGATAGTAGTTAGCATGATTCTTCTTAGTTTCATGATCATTTAGGAGTCATTTAGGAGTCACTTAGTCACAAAGTTCTATTAAAAGTCGTATTTTAATGAGGGCTATCATTTTGGCACTTGGTAGATGGCGCTAATGGAGTTTTCCGACTTTTTTAGAATCTTAGATATACTTAATTACATGGCACAAAATCTGGGATTAGAACAAACATGACTCCATGTCTTGAAATTGACGAAAAGTCTGTCGAAAGTTTTTTCTACTGTCCATTCCGTTGAAGAAAGAAAGACCTTTCTACTAAAGATTCATCCGTTCTAAGTTCTTTAAAGCGCCACCAGTGTCAAAGTGTACGATACCCCTCGTCCAATTTCTATGCATCCAGCTAATTCTTCTCCGTCCTTTTCCAGAAATATCGTTATGGCAGCCAATTGCTTTAATGTGCGTCTACTACAGTCTACTGCCCCTATGGGTCTTCATCGTATGGCGCAACAAGTACACCAAAAAGGTTCTTACCAGTGGATGGACTCCAGTTATCTCTGCACTCTTCATCAGTGGGTATGTATCCTTCGGCGTTACTTCTCATTTCTTTGATTGTTCCTGTGACATGTATATTATTCCTTACTTCTATGAGGCTAGGTTCTCTTTTGTGGATGACTGAAATGAACTTTTCTACAATATCTTTCAGATTTTACTTACTATTTAAAGAAAGCTACGCTGTTATTTCTTGTTTTAATAGTCAAATTAATTAATGCTCACTTGCTTTAATCTATCCGCATTAGTATTGACGTTTTATCGAAAATGACTAGACAAAATAAATGAAATTCCCTTCTAGATTTAGTTTTAATCCTATTTATTAAATCCTCATAACTATCGTTATTTTTAAGCATGACTTGCATGATAATACAATGTTTAGATTGGCATTATGTAGCAAAACATTATTTATATCATGTTCTTTAAAATAGACCAATTTGAATTTTGTTTTTTCCATCTAAAATCTTGAACTGTTGCGTATGTCTAGATATTTTCCACTTTCTACAAACCTATTATGGTTATAATATGACCAGACTTTGATATATTATGCCGTAGGCCAATTCTTTATCATCAGACGAAAGATATCCACTCTCGTTACGGATGGATTTCGCTTAACTCTCTGAAAATTTAAAAGATAATACAACTTAAAAAATTGTAAGTACCGAACTTCAACATTCATTTCTTTTTCTTCAGTATCGGAGGTATCGTTTTGGACAAAGCAGTGGACAGCTACCCCGGCTACGAAGTCTTCCAGCCCATTGTCAATGGCATCGGTGGAAACCTGGTCTGCGTACAATCTTCAAGATTGGCCACCCATCTCCATCAGACGGCTATTCCTGGAGAGCTACCTGAGAACACCAGGCTCGTTGAATGGCCTTGGAAGACGCTGTTCTATGGAAGTAAGTTGATCATTATTGCTAGCCTTTTTATGATCTTTCTTAGTGTTTTGTAGAAGTACTTAAATAATATTCTATTAGTTTATTAATATATTTTTATAATTTACTCTAGGCTCTTATACTTCATTTTTTTTAATACAAGCTCACTATAAATATTATCTTTCAACAATCATTTCTCAGTTACCTGTGCATCTAATTTGAAATCAGTGTATTGATTAATATTTTTCTTTTTCAGCTAAAGCAGCTAAGGTCGCTCGTATGCTGTTGGTCCTCGCGTTGTTCGGTCAGATTATCTTCATGGTAGTGGCTGACTTTGTCTACCAAGGCTATGTCACCTTACAAGTGCCCTTCGGAATCACTTACCTCTTGTGCTCATTGTTGCAAGTAAGTACCGTTGGATTTCTTTAAGCTCCTATAACATGAAGATAAAATTACCAATTATCTCTGTAGATACTAGGCTGAATGGATCCTAACAGTAGTTTATCTTGCTTCCAGGTCATGGTATTGTTGTACCTAGCTTACATGCTAGTCCACCTGATGTGGAAGAAGAAGAAGGATCCCGACAACGCAGCCATCCCCTACCTGACCGCTCTAGGAGATCTCCTAGGATCAGTGTTCCTAGGACTCACCTTCGTGATCCTCTCCATCTTCGGCATGCAATACGGTAACAATGTCCAGTGAATAGGTACGATACACCTGAAGGTATACTAAAGGAAGAAGAAATATGGATCTTAGGACCTTACAGTCTCATTTAACGTCAAAAATTATGATCCCCATCATAGTTTTTGATGTTAGTACTATTTAAACAGTCTTGTATTTTTAAACAGGTGATCGGTAAGACTTGTTGCAAGACTTGGATTGTGGATGGAGACGTTCCTTTATGGATCAGTACTGAAACGTTATCTTGATGTTCCTTCTAGCTGTGCAACGTTTAGCATTGCTAGCCAATACGAAGTAATACCAAAGGCAATGGAATCACTCAGCGGGATTTCACAAGCTTTTTATATTTCATCAATTTGCTTTAATATGATTTTATTAATATTCGGTCAGATTAAGATAATAAGGATAGCAATCCTGTCAGTATTGGTATTCATTAAAAATTAATCGAACGTCATGTCAATTGGTGTGCCAATATCGATGTGTCGATGAAATCATAACTTTTTAAACGCGACAGTATTGAAAATTTTCAAAGATTTATCGTTTTTTGAACATTATTTATTGATATTTTGAATGATTCTTGTTGAGGTATCGCTCTTTGTTAGAGTTGACATCCTGAGAGTCAAACTGTGATATAATGAACTGTAAAAATGTGATCGACGCAATTATTTTAAATGTTTTGACATCAATTTATAATGAGAATGAAGGACAATAAATTGAGTGGAAATCGATGAAATTCAACAGCTAAGTAAGGAAATGTTACCATAATAAATTGACTCTTGGTTTTGAAGTTTTACGTTTTTAACTATTTTTATCATCAGACCTGCTATAGAATTGAGACAATTTTGATTGACCTTGTTGATTGTTTTTATAGTTAATATTTTAACAGACTTAGGCCAAGGAGTTATTTAAATCATTTGTAATGAAATGCTCGGCAGTGAGGCTCTCGAACTTCAGCCAGAATACAATGTTCCTACACACGTATTCTCTTGTTCGATCTAACTGTAATAGGTGTCATATCCAAAATATAGGTAATTGGCGATACTTAGTTCTAGATACATTTTGTAGATATGTGTGTAAATATTAACTTATAATTGTCACTTCATTGTGATCGTGTACCGTTTTGTTAGGACTTATGTGATATAGACCTATTTTGTACGCTTGGTTTTTTCATAACAGCTTACGTCAGTCCAAAAATCAAGTAAAAAAAAACCTCTTGGATTTCTACGCCATTCACTCTGTTCGTGTGGTCTAAATTTTCGTTGATTAAAATAAAATTTACTGGTCAGGTACCATTTTATAGTATGTGTAAGGTCACTCGATTGTGATGTATCGAGATTCCATTGAGCAATCACCTGCCAATCTCAAGGCGTTGCACGTAAAATCATTGTTGTTTACTTCCCGCCATCTTTGTTTTGTCTCTGCCCACCTTGACAATGAGGTTCATTGCCTTGTGGAATTAAAAAAATGAAATTCTAAATTTGAATTACGTTGGGGCCGTAAATACTTTTTTGTGTTCGAAATTCGAAAACTTTTTTTTTCTAAATTTCTTTCTGTTGTTTTTTTTTATATAAAATGTTGATTATAAAACCAAGCGTTAGGATGTAATTTAGTATTTAGTTTAGGAAAGAGAGTACAATAAAGCAATTACGTAGTATTTAAGTTAAGAGGCCTAAACTAATTTATTAAACTGACGTGTATAGTGTATAGATACAGATTGGTAATCAAATGTAAAATAAATATCACCAATTTGGTAGTATTAGACGAGCATTTTGAAGAACTGGAAAATAGATTAAACTAGGTGTAATGTTCGTTTGCTTGTGTGAGATCTCAGAAACTGAAAAAAGTAATAGTTGGACCTGTTTATTTCTACCTCTGCTGGAAAACACGATACATGTTGTGTATAAAAATGTATGTGTGATACAGAAATAGAAAATTATTTTTGTTAGTAAAGTTTTAACGAAAATGATAAAAAAAAATGCCAAATTGTGGAGGTACACTCGACATCATGAGATTGTTGATGCGACGTGATGGGGGCTACCGGTTTTCTGCTATCCAGATGGCGCTAGTGGGGCCCTTTCGTTCTTTGCTCAATAGGGAGTTAGCTAATATCACACCATTGGATCTTTAATGCCTTGTTCGCACTATTTAGTAACTCTTTCTCGCTTCGATTTTAGGACAGAAGCGAGAGGGATAGACTAAACACTCGCTGCTCGACTAAAATACTAGCATAGTACGAACAAGGTAATAAACGATTGAACAAACTGACGTCTTGCTAGATTTCTTCTTTTTATCGACAGATGGCGCTCACCTGGTATTTAAAAAACGGTAGCCGCCATTGTAAAAGTTGTTGACTGTATATTAATTGCAGTGCTTCATTGTATATTTAACCAAATATGTACTAAAATATTATTTTATTGGCGTTCAGCATCACGGTACTATATTTTAGCTTATTTTTTTATAACATTAAAATACGAGATCCCGGACGCCAATTGAATAGAATGTGACCATAATTCAATAACGTTAAGATATATTTTTGAATGAATGATGTGATATAAATGAGATTTTAAATTGTATATAGAGAATTGTTATGTAGTACGTAAATCACTGAGAAAAGCTGTTGTTAGTTTGTTAGACGCTTCCCTTTCGTAAAAGGCTGCACTAGACATCAATTATTAGTGAAAAATTAATAAAATATCGATGATTGGTTGCACAATTTTCTTCTAAAACCCCTTTTTTCTATCTTCTTCCCCCACCTTCAACCTCATTTCCGTCCTATACTAAAAATATTACATTTTCAAAAAATCAATTCTTTTAAACAACGAAAATGCTTTATTTTTTAATTTATCTGGATGTATTCTATTCCATTTTTTTATTTAATCTATTACCTACTTTGTTTTTTTTAATCTAAATCTTCGTATTGTCCCGTTTCCTTTTCGTATTTAAGTGAAAATGACTGAAAACATGAATTGCTGCTATATTGTTCCATAATAGTTATTCATATAAGTATATAATTAATATTGGTGACTAATAATATATTTGTCTATTATTACTATTATTGTATTTGACGGGAGAATAAAGTGCAACCACTTGTTAGTAAGATATAGTTATTAATTAAATATTTTGGTCCGAAAGTGCCATTATGAATCAATGTTAGATTATGAATATTTTATAACACTATTTACTGTTTTATTTTTCATTGTAATTCAAAATGTTGAGCAGTTCTTCTTATTATTTGACGTCTACAGATATCGATTTCTTGATTCTTTAAATTGGTGACTTTATAGTAAAAATGTAAATGAATTTGTTAATTTTTGTTATTTTCAAGTATTGCATGTTACAAAATAACCAATTATTCTTTACAATATAAGGTTCTTTTAAAGCAACACGAATTTGATACTAATTTTATTAGCTCTATATGTGAAAATATTGACAAATAAATATGTACCTATGTACCTAATATTGTTGATACCCACCGATGACCACATATCTACTATTATTTGCTACTATGTCTAAATTAACTCAAAATAGCAGGTTACTCACGTGAATATACTGAAAAAAGCTCTACTAGTTTTGAACCACAGGGGGGATCTTCCTCATGAGCAGCGTGCGCGGTCGTGGCAATGTCGCGCAACCTACTTTGAGGTTTGTGGTTCGAAATTAGTAGAGCTTACCTCAGTATATTCACGTGAGTAACCCGCGATTTTTAGTATATTTGGTATGTCTCACGATAGTTATTATGAAAACTACTATGTCTATCTTAAAAAGAATTTTATACATTTTTCTTTGAATTATTTCTGAACCTTTCGCTATTTTTTTTACCTTAGTAAACATGTTTCATAGTATTTTTTTAAATGTTTAAACCTGTCACTATTTTTTTTCACCTAACTGTACATTTCTTATGAAACTTTATTGATTGTAGCCATTCTGTCACTACCTATAGAAAGAATAAATAATTTTCCTCTAATATGTCAGTAGTTTTCACATGTAGCTAAAAATACTTAGGTAAATAGTGTTATAAATAAATAAATAATTAACACATTGATATTATGTACATTCCATTTACACAGCTTTTTAAACGACTATCAAGTGGTTTATGAAATGTAATTATTTTAAGTTTTATACCATCAATGTATTCCTATTGTGATGTCCAAATAGTGTAATGTAATTTTTATTTCAAAATAAAATGAATTTGTAGAAATGAAACGACCGTAGATGGTAACGAACTGTCAAATTTTTATTTTATGCATAGATTAAACATAATATAGTACCCAAAGCCTCTACTAGATGGCGCCACATTTATATTTATTTTGTTAGAATACGACACTCCCACTTAACAAAATAAAACTAAATACTTATCTAGTGTTTTATTTGACTAAACCTAACATCTCTAAAAATTTATAATGTTTTACCGCAGTTAACCCTTTGGTAAATAAATCAGCAGGCATTTCTGAAGTTGGTAAATAACTCAATTTAATAATATTATTATTTAAATGTTCTCTAAAAAAATGAAATCTGATATCAATGTGTTTTGATCTTTTATGCAAACAATTATCATTTGCCAACTTCTGTGCAGACTGATTATCATTGAATACAGTTACTATATACAATTTGTTAGTTATCTCATATTGCAAGTTCCGTAAGTATATGGCCTCTTTACAACAATCTGATATTCCCATGTACTCAGCCTCGGTGCTAGACAGAGCTATAGTGATTTGTTTCCTAGTTGCCCATGAAACAGCACCACCAGAAAGAGAAAAGAAAAACCCTGTATATGAACGCCTATCCAATACATTACTTGCCCAGTCAGCATCAACATATGCTTGCAATTTTGAATTTCCATTGGCACTGTATTTCAGACAATATTCTTTAGTTGTTTTCAAATATTTTAAGACCCTTTTGGCACAAGCCCAATGCTCATCACTGTAACAATTATTAAATTGACTTAAATAATTAACAGAAAAAACAATGTCTGGTCTAGTAAGTACTGCTAAATACATCATAGAACCTATTAACTGTTGGTAAGGTAATTGAGTATTACAATATTCACTTTTACTTAAATTTAACTTAGATTCTATTGGTGTGTAAACTGCCTTACAACTTTGAATATTAAATTTTTGTGATAGTTTTTCAATGTATTGTTGTTGATCCAAAGTTACTGTACCACTTACTTTATCAACATCAACTCTCATACCTAAGCAATGCTTAACACTACCCAAATCTTTAATTTTAAAGACAGATGATAAACTACTCTTAATTTTTTCAGTTTCTAACAAATTATTTGAAAAAATGAAGAAATCATCAACAAACAGTGCAATGAATATTTTGTCTGACACATTAATTTTGCTATAAAGACAAGGTTCGAATTGAGACCGTTTGAATCCTATGGTCTCTAAAAAACTATCTACTCTCTGATACCAGGCTCTACTTGATTGCTTCAAACCATAAATAGCCTTCTTAAGCTTAAGCACCTTGTTGTTATTATGCTTACATTCAAAACCTACTGGCATTTTCATATAAACTGTTTCTTTCAAGAATCCATTTAAAAAAGCAGTTTTAACATCAAGGTGGCATATATCAAGTTTCATCTGAGCTGCTAATGCAAAAAGTAATCTTAAAGATGAATGTCTCAACACAGGGGAAAAAGTTTCATTAAAATCTATACCTGGTTTTTGTACAAATCCTTTTGCAACTAACCTAGCACGATATGTTACATTATTGTCAATGTCTAACTTACGTTTGAACACCCATTTACAAGGCACAACTGTACTGTTCACAGGTAAGTCCACTAATTCCCAGGCATTATTTTCTTCGAAAGATTTTAATTCATCGTTCATTGCTAATGTCCATTGTTCACTCTCTGGCCCGCTTAGAGCCTCCAGAAGTGATATTTCATTACAGTCCACATTACACGCACTAGCACTGGCAAAACCATACCGTTCAGGTTGTTTACGAACACGACACTTCCTAACCTCATTTTCCACAACTGTTGATGGACCTGGAGTAGCTAACTGCTGCTCTGACACTGCTGCAGAGGCTGTAGTTTCTTCCACATCTAGAAATTCTTCATCTGTTTCTTTATCTGAGCTGGTGCTGCTTGAATTCTTGCTTACTGCACCCTTTACTGCACCTGGACTGAATTTCAGTTTGAGGTTCGTCTCTGAAATGTCAACATTTGCGTCTCCCACTGTTTGCTGAATTTCTTCAGGTATCTCAGTTTTTACTGCAAACTCGTGGTTTGGTTCGGTCAAGTCCACTGGTATCTCGGTTACACAACTCCCTTCCTCAATCACGACAATATCTCGACTGGTAGTTATTGTGTTATTGTTGGGATTGTACACTCTGTAACCTTTTACGTCATTTGGATAACCAATCAAAATGCATTGTTTGGCTTTTTTATCCCACTTGAGCCTTCTCTCCTTTGGTATATGTACCATTACTCTACTGCCAAATATGCGTAAATGGCTAACGTCTGGTTTCTCACCTGTCCACACTTCAATTGGTGTTTGGTTGTTTAATCCTGATGCTATTGATCGATTTTTCAAGTAGGCCGCTGTGTTTACCGCTTCTGCCCAAAATCTTTTGGTTAATCCTGCATCAAACAACAGGCATTTTGCCTTCTCAACCATTGTGCGGTTGAATCTCTCGCACAATCCGTTCTGCTGTGGAGTATATGGGTTAGTTTTTTGGTGTAATATTCCTGCTTCTTGTAGATATCTATCAAACTGCTTATTACAAAATTCTAACCCATTATCTGTCCTTAGAATTTTGATTCTCTTCTCTGTCTGATTCTCAGCCATACTCTTAAATGCTTTGAATTTGTCTAATGCTTCATCCTTAGTCTTAAGAAAATAGACAAATACCATTCTGCTTTTGTCATCTACGAATAGCAAAAAATATTTTGATCCTCCAATGGACTTAGTTTCCATGGGGCCACAAATGTCTGCATGCACCGTGTGAAGCAACTCTTCACTTCTGTTACCAACATGTGAGAAGGGTAACCGTGCCTGCTTGCCTTCGCAGCATACAACGCAGCTCTTATGGTTCACCTGGGACTTGTCTGTATATGTCATGCCATTAACTGCACCGTCTCTCATTTTGTCTAGATCGGTGCTATTCAGGTGCGCAAAACGGCGATGCCACACATGCCCCGACACTGGTGTAAACAGACAATTAACTTGTTTCACATTTAATTTGTAAACACCGTCCACCAAATCTGCAGTTGCAATCAGTTCGTTCCTGTCGTTATAAATCATACAGTGGTTCTCAGTGAAGTTAACTCGATTTCCCTTATTAATCAGCTGGCTAACTGATAACAAGTTTGTAGCAAGACTAGGCACGTACAATACTTCTGTGACTGATATGTCATATTCTTTACCTTTCACTGTTGTTATTATTTGGGTTTCACCACAACAATCCACAGAAATTGTCGACTTATCAGCAATAACTATCTCGTCTACAAGTGTTTGTTTTGACAGATTCTTCAGCCAATCTTTATTAGTCGTCATATGCCTGCTGGCACCGGAATCAATGTACCAGTCTGTAGTACTGAATTTACCACTTAGAAAAGTAGCATTAAATGCATTAGTTGTTTTTTTCTTTTCTATTTTATTACACTGATTCTTGTAATGCCCTTGCTTCTTACATTTGTAACATCTTACATTTGATTTTAACGTTTCGGTCGTATTGACATTTGCCGTATTTCGTTCATTCCGTTCACTCTTTTGGGGTTGCCATTTTTTAGACATAAATGCACTCTGACTGTTCGCACTAACTTCACTTGAGTCCTCCATGTCTATGAGCTTCGATTTGATTGCGTCGG